TCATCACTATCATCAAATTAGTGCTCATAGTTACAAGCCTTAAAAATTCCTTGTGCTACTTTTTTAGCTCTCCCTCCTTCCCTTCTTAGGAAACCACTGATCTCACTTTCACTATCTTTTCTACAGTTTTACGTAAATAGAATCATATAGCTTCAACAAGGCGGCCCAAGCGGCTAACGCGAATGCAGATCTTTGTGAAGACCCTGACAGGCAAGACCATCACCCTTGAGGTGGAGCCCAGCGACACCATCGAGAATGTCAAAGCTAAAATCCAAGACAAGGAGGGCATTCCCCCGGACCAGCAGCATCTGATTTTTGCTGGTAAACAGCTGGAGGATGGCTGCACTCTCTCGGACTACAACATCACAGAAAGAGTCCACCCTGCACTTGGTGCTGCGTCTGCATGGTGGTATCATTGAGGCGTTCCCTGCGCCAGCTGGCCCAGAAGTACAACTGTGACAAGATGATCTGCCGCAAGTGTTATGCTCGTCTTCACCCCCGTGCAGTTAACTGCTGCAAGAAGTGTGGCCACACCAACAACCTGCGTCCCAAGAAGAAGGTCAAATAAGGGCCCTTGTCTACCCACTCTCCTGCCTCCTGCTGGGGTTCTCCTGAGCCCAATGGCCCTGGGCCCTCAATGAAGTCTCACTTTCACTGACCTTAGGCAATAAAAAAAACAGGAATCATATGATATATACGGTACTCATTTTTTGTCTGACTTCTTTCACTCAGCATAATTATATAGAATCATAAATATGTGGGTCCATAGTTTATTCCTTGTATGAGTATGGGATTTTCATATTCAAGTATATGGATATCCTGACATATAAATTCACTTGTTAATGGATGTGTTTGGGTTGTTTCTCGTCTTTGATTATTATAAATAAACCTGCCATGAACATTTATGTACAGGCCCTGACTGCTAAGTCTATTTTTGGTATTCCCTGGGGACTTCATTGCTTTGCTCCCCTTGCTGTTCTGTTGCACACCCTAAGCATTCTGCCTCGGTGTGGTGGGGTCAGATTGGTCACAATTCCCTCCATTGTTGTCCCCCATAAAAAGTTTCCCTTAAAACAGAATAGACTAAGTCCCTTCATGAAGCTTATATTCTAAAAGCAAAACATTTAATAAACAGTTAAACACATAGGATCTATAATTCCAGAAGCCATAAGTGCTATAAAGGAATAAAAGAGGGTACGGATGTAGTAAACATTGGGGTAGGGTGATTGGTTGAAGATCTGACTCTTATTATCCAGGGCATGGCACCCTATCAGACTCGACCGGAAAATAAGATCAACAAACAGAGCTGGAACTATTTATAGGTTTTTCTTTTTTTGGTCATTGGCTTTTTTGTTGTTGTTGTTTTGTGTTCTGTTTTCTTTTGTTGCTTTGTTTTGCTCTGTCTTGTTTTTGTGCTTATTGTTGTCTCAGTGTGTCTATCTAGATAAGATAGAAGGGATAAACAATCCTGAGGAGAAAACAATGGGTCAATTCCGGGGGGACATGGGAGAGGGGGAGGTGGGTGGAAAGGAAGAGGGGTGTCAACCAACCCAGGGACAAGGGAACAACAAGTGATCTAAAATTGATGACGAGGAGGGTATAGAAGGCCTGGTGGGCCTTGATCAAGGGCAATGTAGCCGAGAGGAATTACTGAAACCTGAATGAAGGCTGAACATGATAGTGAGACAAGAGGAGAGTAAAAGAAAATAGAGGAAATATCTAGGAGTCAAAGAACACTTATAGAGGTTTAAATACAGGCATGTACACATGTAAATATATTTATATATAACGATAAGGAAATATATCTATGTACATATATTTATATGTTAAGTGTTAAGGTAGCAGATGGACATTGGGCCTCTACTCAAATGCTCCCTCAATGCAAGAACACTTTGTTCTAATAACCTGGCATTCCAGGATGCTCAGCTTCCGGACATGATCGCTGAAGAAAAAATGGGTGCATAAGCAAATGTGGTGAAGGAAACTGATGGTGGCTGGCCATGAAAAGATACAGTGTCTGGGGTCTTAAAGGCTTGAAGATAAACAAACAGCTATCTAGCTCAGAAAGCAACAAAGTCCACATGGAAGAAGTATACCGGCTTTATGTGATCATGAAGTGTCTATGGTATCAGGTATCAGGCATAAAAGATCCAGAACAAAAAATCATATCCATGTGAATGAGGGGGATGGCTGAGTGGAGACCCAAAGTCCATCTGTAGACAATTGGACATCCTCTTACAGAAGGGTCAGAAGGAAGAGACGAGCCATTTAGGGTGCAGTATAGCACTGATGAAACATACAACATTTTTCTAGTTCTTTAATGGCCCCCCCATTATCATGACCCCAATTCTACCTTAAAATTCCAGCTAGCCCAGAGCATGTACACGGGTATACGTAAGAGCTGGAAATAGAGGGAATCCAAGACAGATAAACTACTCAGGACCAATAATGAGAGTAGTGATACCAGGATGGTAAGGGGAAGGTGGGGGAAGAAAGGAGGAACTGATCACAATGATCTACATTATAATCCTCTCTCAGGGGGACAGACAACAGAAAAGTGGGTGAAGGGAGTCAGAGGTCAGTGTAAGACATGAAAAAATAATTTATAAATTATCCAGGGTTCACGAGGGAGAGATGATGGGAGAGGGAGGGGAAAAATGAGGAGTTGATACCAACGGCTGAAGTATAAAGAAACTATTTCAAAAATGATGATGGCAACATATGTACAAAGGTGCTTGACACAATGGATGTATATATGGATTGTGATAAGAGCTTTAGGAATCCCCAATAAAATTAATAAAAAAGAGGAACTGTTAGATCTCTCTGGAGCTAGATATACCTCCGTTCTTGGCTCCGTGCGAGAAAGAATTCACGCTGAAGCCTGGTTCGTGATCGAAGTAAGTTTTATGAGAATTAGAAAACGTTTCAGGTTTACACGGCACTTGAGGGGCTCCTCCCGAACATGCGGCCTGGTTGGAAGCTGCTCGGTGTCATGCAAAAGTGTCCCAAAGTCCTGCCAAAGCTCTCTGCGCCAAAGTTCTGTCTCTCCTTCGACCCCGGGCTTCTGCCTTTTCAAGGATTCCACTGGGGAGGCGTGGTGGAAGACCCCTGATCGACCCCATTGGCTGAATTGAATTCACCTGGCCTAGATGGGCCAATTCAACTTCATGCCCACCCCTGCCTACTGGCGGGAACCCTGAGCATGTGCAGTGCACCACTCCTTTGTTCCCCTAGCTTGGCCCTCTGGGCATGCCTTAACGGACATTCCCCCACCCTACTCTATCTACCTAACAGAACTTTTTAAAAATTTGCCAAGGAATTATGAAACACATAGATTGGGAGTTAGTGCCTTAGATTATTACTAGGAAGTAGCATGTCCTTTAAATCAATATTTAAAAATTTTTATTCCGGTAGATTTTGAAAAGGAAAGCTTGTTTATACTATGACTCTTACTGCTGGATTCCCAAGCAGTTTTTTAAAAATAGCTGTGCCTAAGCTCCACCAAGGAGCTCTGGTGCCGGGCTTTAATCAGTGATTGAACTGTTAACCACAGGGTTGGCGACAAATGCCTTAGCTACTTGAGGGGAGGAAGATGAGAGTGTCTGTTCCTGTGAAGATTTACATCGCCCCCCCCCCAAAGCTATGTAGAGGCCCTGTAAGTTGGAGTAGACTCAATGGTAGTAGACGTGTGTGTTTTCTTTTTGAGGCTCCACTGTTAATTCTGAGTCAATTGGCTAAGATGTGCTACTCAGGTGGAGAGAGGTGTCAATAGAAAGTGCCACCTGTGATGTGGTTAATGTAACCCTTTCAGGCAATCTGTTATAGATCATATGACAGATTGATTTGGGAAGGATTCCTGGGGTTTTGACTTTTGCTCTCCTCTCCCCTCAAGGGATGCCCAGTTGATGATCTAAAGACCATTCCACCCCTTGCCCAGTGGCAAAAGTTGTATAATATGCATTTTTTTAATGTGCAGGAAATGAAGCATAGGGTGTTGAGATTGCACATGGGTTTTCAGGGCACTGAAGAAGGATATAATAAAAGAGTGGAGGCAAAAAGTGCATTGAATTCATTTGAACAGTTGGTAACAAAAAGGAAATTAAGGGTAAAATTAAGAGTAAAAATAAGAAGAATCCTGTTAAGATTGAGGAAAGTGATGTATGTCTTAATACTCAGGGAAATAACTAATTAAAGGTTGGTGATGTAAGAAGAATAAAGTAGATAACTGATGAACAAAATTTCTAGAGGAGATAGAAAAGTAGAGAAGTTTAGGAGGAACTATTAACACTGAAAAAAGAGAGATGGGATATGAACACTACGTAAAGATGCAGAAGGGTGGGAGGGGTGGGTATTATCTTTGTTAGAAGACTTACATTCTCCCCACCACCACCACCAGTGATAAGAATGATCAGTTTTTAAGAATCAGGACTGAAGGAGGCTACATCAGGTATTAGAGAAGAATATATAATATTGCTCTTTAGGGAATGGGAGTTAAAGGTAAGTGGAGTTAAGGGATCAGGCATTGTAGGTTATTTATTAGAATCTTGATATTTCCCATATACTATTTATTGATTACAAGTAGATGAAATCATAGAACATGTGAAGAGAAGTCCAGGGAATCAAAAAGACCATATTTTATAGTTGTGTGCAACTGCACACTAGAAAGCTGGTGAATCAAATCTACTCAGAATTACCTTGAACCAAAGGTCTGGTTTCCTATTTTCAGATGAGACTGAGTGAGTTCAAGGAGGCAAGGCCTTAGACTGGTGATCCGTTTCTAAAAGATCACTGTCTTTGAAAAATGTTGGTGCACTGTTCTATTCAGATGCACATGGCATCATCTTGGACTGGAATCAACTCAAAAATAACTGGCTTGGCTCTTTTTACAGCTGCCTCCTTCCACAAGTTCACATTTACTTGGAGTTGATCGCCGTTTTACTGACAAGAGATTCATAGGAAGACCTCATGTGGAATTGACTCATGAGCATCATGAACCTTTTTTAGGAGTATCCTAACACTTTCTTTAAGGCATCTTTCATCTCTTTATTCCGGAGGCTGTAAATCATGGGATTGAAAAACGGGGTCAAAACTGAGTAGAACAAAGTAGTGAACTTCTGCATGCCTTCTGCTTGTCCTGATCCTGGGCTCACATATGTTATCATGACAGACCCATAGAACAGAAAAACGACAGCCAGGTGTGAAGAGCAGGTAGAAAAGGCCTTCTTCCGGCCAGCAGCAGAAGGCACCTGCATCACAGCCCTGAGCACTAGGGTGTATGAGCCAATAATGTAGAAAAAGGTTGCAAAGATGAGGAGGGAGCTCATGGTGCCACATATGAGAACAGTCCCTGGGATTGGGACACAGGCTGAAGCCAGATCCAATAGGGGACCCAGGTCACATAGAAAGTCATCAATCACATTTGGGCCACAAAATGGTAGCTGAGTGACAAGTATCACTGGAACCAGAAACCAGAGGAAACCATACACCCAGCAAAAGATGACCAGGCTGCTACAGAACTTAGGATTCATGATTGTTGGGTAGTGCAGGGGGCGGCATATTGCTAGAAACCGGTCATAGGCCATGATAGAGAGAAATAAGCACTCTGTTGTGCCAAGTGAGAAGAAGAAGTACAGTTGGAGAAGGCACTGAGTAAAGGAGATGGTTTTGCTCCTGGAGAGGAAGTTGGCCAGCATGTTGGGCACATCAGAGTTGACATAGCAGATCTCCAGGAAGGAGAAGTTGGCCAGCAGGATGTACATGGGGGTGTGGAGTCGGTGATCCCAGCGCACTGCACACACGATGGCCATGTTTCCGAGAATAGTCAGGATGTATGTCACAAGGAAGATGGAAAAGAGGAAGAGCTGTATTTCCCAGCGACAAGGGAAACCCAAGAGGACAAACTCATTCACTGTGCGGGAGCGATTTCTAGCTTCTGAGGACATGTTCTTTTGCCCTGTAAAGATTGCAGCAGAGAACAGGTGGGAGAGGGAAAGTGGAAGTATACCCATGAATATATATAGGTTTGGCAGAGGATATTTGTATATGTATATTGACTTTTGCTGTAAATATATCCATGAATGTATTGGAGCATGCATGAGACAAAGTTTTGAAAATTCAAAAATAACCAAATACTTTGAGGGAATGAGTCACTGGCCTCTGGGTTGAGCTCCATAGTCTTAGGGGTCATCAAAGTCAATTGGCATAACATAGTTCACAAAGACAGGGTTCTACATCCTGATTTAATGAGTAGTGACTGGAGTCTTAAAAGTCCAGGAGCTGCCTCCTAAGGTGCAACTATGGGCTTTCCTCATTCAGAGGGAAGGAAGTTGATGAAAATAGGACACATGGAAGCGGTTAGTCCAGTGGACTAACTTAGCTCTTCTGGTCTCAGAGTTATGGAGAGCTTTTCTGGCTTGACGGGAGATGTTATGTTTAATTTCCCCAACATTGTTTCCCTCAATGGGTTATTGCATCCTACTTCACAGAACATTGATGCTTTAATTTTTTTTTCACCAACCTCAGCTTTCTGGAAAAATTTCTGAACAGATGTATACACCCCCTCACCAAATCAGTGAAGCGTTTAGCCAGGTTTGAAAATTTTTCCTTGTTATCATGTGCACCAAGGCACACAACCAGATACACATGCACTGGTTCTATTAGAGTAGTTTTTATTGGCGGGAACTTCATGAACCCAGGATCATTCACAGGCATGCAAGTCTCCTTTGCCCCTTATAACCACAGCAGCACACAGAAGTTATCAGATTCCAAGAAGGGCATTTCAACTCTAGGCCCGTGAGCCCTACAGTTGCATGATTATGGAGGAATTAACTCTTCCCTGGATGTGATTAAGGTTACGTTGTGATATGAAAATGATTATGAAAACCCAGACCCAATCCTATTTCAAGACACAGGTTGTGGTGGGAGGAAACTGGCTCTTCTCTTAAGATTGGGGCCTGGGCTTTAAGCTTTGCAGTTTTAGTGGAGTGAAAACTCAAAGCAAACTCACTGTTGTCAATTCTGACTCATGGGACTCTATAGGACACAGTAGAACTAATCCTTTGGGTTTCCATGACTTTAAATCTTTGTAGAAGTAGAGAGCCTGAAGTAACAAGTGAATAGCAAGAAAATTCCATGTCAGCCAATGTGATGGAGACAGTGATTGTTTCAATCGCTATTAATTCACTGCCATTGAGTCAATGCTGACTCATAGTGACTCTCTGTGGGTTTCCCAGGCTGTAACTGTTCACGGGAGCAGAAAGCACAGTCTTTCTCCCGAGGAGCTGCTGGTGGTTTTGAACTGCCAACCATGCAGATCACAGGCCAACATGTAAACACTACACCACCAGGGTTCCATCAAGTTCTCTTATAGCTAGTTTCACTTTCAGGGAGCTGTGCAGGAGGACAAAGAAACTTGAAGGGGATCCGTTGAGGACAAGTCAGTACTTATGTCTGAGGTATATTATCTTTTTAAAAACTTTATCAATACATTTTTATGGAAGCCATAGTAAAGATTATTACTTCCATTTTATGTAGGAGGAGATGAAGGCTCAACCTTGTTAAATGTTTGAGACCCCAGACTAAAGAGTAACAAAGTCAGGACAAGAGCTCTTGTCTTTGGCTGTTTTCTCATTACATTAGAGGACCTTTAGTGTACATGTGTCTAATATCAGTGGGTACCATCCTCCTCCAGGAAAAAGCGCATCAGGCGAATGCAATAAATTACCATCTGTGCTGAAGATATCATCACAACATGTGAAGAGGAGATGAGATCTTCAAGTATCTCTCAAACCACACCATTCAGGTGGAATTATAGTTTTTTTTCTCCTTTATTTTTCATCTTCATATGGCTATCTTTTATAGATAAGACTAGTTTAACAGCAGGAAAATATCACATACTTGAGTTAAGATTCAAGAACTGTGCTCAGTCCATCCTCAGATGCAGTCATAGGACGCCATCAACTGTCATGGAAAATGCGATCTGCCGTAGGCATTCTTTTGCAGCAATAATTCAAAAAGAGGCAAGCCCTCTCATTAACTGGCTTTACCTGGCCGAGAATGGCACAACAGGCAGTTATCTGTAGAGCTGTTTTATTCTGGCTGATTTTGAAAAACAAAACAAAACAAACAAAAACAAACATCACACTCACTGCCTTTTTGTTGATTCCACCTCCTAGCAACACTTATAGGACACAGTAGAACAGCCCTTTTCTGAGGGGTTCTGAGACTGTAAATCTTCAGAGAGCAGAAAGCCTCTTTTTTCTCCTGAGGAGCAGCTGGTGGATTTGAACTGCTGACGTGGTTAGCAGCCCAACATATAATTCAGTAGGGCTCCTGTAGCCTTCTGTAAAGGAGATAAATCACCCCCCCCACCCCGTGCATTAATACAAAATCATGATAACTGATACAAAGAACATCCTTGAAAAAGAAAAAAAGGAAGGAAAGAGCACAGCAGGAAGCAACTTCATAGAGGCTGCTGTGTAAGGAGGGTGAAGACACTTGTTTCTCTGGTTGTTCTAATTGTTCATGTGATTATATAATGTGTGTCTAATTCTATTTGGTGGAGACTTTCAGTTATCACCTAAAAAATATTTTTACTGTTAATTAGACATGTTGTCTTCTTTTCTCCGACTGCTTTTCTTACTTCTTACTCTTCATTTATTTCCATAGTATGAAGGACATTGTTTCAATGTTCTATGTCCTAGGAACTCAAGAGAATAGTTGAATTCTGTCTCTTGTTTACTTGTCCTTTCTACTTTGGGGGGAATAGAAATCATCAAGCCCAGTCTTTTACTTCTTGGAATAATGCATTGCTCACCTATACTGGCCTCAGAAAATCATGGATTAGCATGGACCTTGGAAATTACATTTTCTTTGTCATTGGAACATAATGGCTTTTGGAGCCAAAAGATATTTTATTGGTTCTCTAACCTATCCTTCCATGGCAGGAAGGACCCTCCTTTCTGTGGTCTTGCTAGGAGATGCTCTGGCTTCTGTTGGAATGCTCAATGACTAAGGACTCATCCCAAGAAAATCTAGGGTACTCCCTTTGGACTAGCTTTTTTTTCCCAAAAGTCTTGGTCAACTTTGTTGTCCTTCACCTTCCTGAATCATTTTCATATTTTGTTTTTTATTTTAGTATTACTTTTACCTTAGAGAAATGAGTAAACACTGTCTTTTGAATGTACAATTTTTCATTCTGTACACATTCTGTTAGGATTCTGAACATGCACTGTCATTCTTTTTATTAGTTGGGATTTAATACATATCACATATCATCCCATATTTCTATCACGTCAATGCATTGTCATTCTTAATGCTTCAATAATGACAAAAGGTTTTAATTAGCACAGTCTCACACAATACTAGATAACATCAGTGGGCAAGTTTTGCGTTTTTTCTACTAAATTACTCTGATGATCAGAAAACTTTATATAGCAGTCCTTGAATATATTTTAGGAAAGCATTCGTGATCTCCTTGAATCTTTTCTATTCAGACTAAGCACTTTGCTTTCTTTGAATAACTGTGACATAATTTCTGGGTGTTCATCATCCTGGTTGACTTTTTATTGGTTATGTTTTTCTGAAAGTGATGCTCTACCAGGACACGAAGCTCCTGACACTGCTTGGTTGAAAGAGAGCAAAGTGGTCTTACAAAGGTCCTTTCTTTAGAAAGGACAGCAGACTAAAGTGAACATTAGCTTTGTTTGGGCCTCAGTTTTGCACCTATGACTTATTGAGCTTGTGTTTTACCAAAATCCTTAGAGTTTGCTCACAAGAGTGTCTTCAAAACCATTTTGTCCCTCTCTGATGCTGTTGCAGTTGAGTTTTTGAAGTATGGGAAGATACTGATTTTCATGTGTTTCAAAAGATCTTTTCACCAAGTGATTTATAAAGACTATTTTGGCTTAGGGATTGACTTTCAAAATATTAGCTATCTTTTCCTCTTTTACTGTCCATAAATTTGATAAGTTTTCCTTCTATGGGTGCATAATTTGTCTTTTTTGAGACATTAGGTAGATCAAATATAATACTTTGTCATGTCACTTAACTTCTTTCTAGGTAAGCCCCAATAAATTGATTTTAAAAAAAACAAAACTTCTTTCTAGGTTATAACATGTTATAAAGAATTATAGGTAGAAAGCTAAGCTAAAGATACAAATATTTTAAAGAATTAGGGTGATGAAAATAACATTGTAGTTCTGGACAACATCCCTGCATAAATTATTAAATAGATGGTTCCTGAGAAAAAAATGAAAGCAATTTCTGGACTTTTACCTTTGTTTCATTAAAATTCTATTATCTCTGCTCAGTTCTGGTTTAAAATTTTTCTTTTTAGTTCTGCAGAATTCAACAAAAAATTACTGAACAACTATAACTATTATTCTCATATAGTTTTCAATGTAAGGTGTATTTTACAATACATTTTTATACCTGTAAAGTAAAATATCTTAGCAATTGGAAATATTGTTTTCAACAAAGTTAAGGGTAAGTTTTGGAGTAAATATATAATTTAGGTGAATATTTGGAAGTTATATCTATATAAAAATATTTATTTTATATATTATTATTGTTCACTTAAATATAAAAGCTGAAATTTCCCCTTTTCATTTCAAATAGCAAAGATGAAAAATCATGTTGAAGATGCAATAAAATGATACTTATAAAAAGTGTTGGAGGAAATATAAATATGCAAAACATTTTATTTTTGGCAGGTAAGTTAGAAATACATAGAGCCTTTAAAACTTTTAAAACCATTAAATATATATCAGTGGTGGAAAAATTAGCAATAAGATGACAGCACAAAGAATCACTTAGGAACCATGTTAAAATGCAGATTCTCATTCAGAAAGTATAGGATGGGAATACAATTCTAAACTTCTAACAAGATAATGAGAATTCACTGATAAACACATGTATATATATTCTTTATGAAGTTCTTTAC